TAAGTAGCCACAACAGGTAACAGGCCATGTCGGAATAATCAAATCCCTTTTCGTTTACTTTTTGTCTGTTTCCATACATAACAATCACAACTATACATGTAAATGTAGAAGACAGCTCTTTCATTCCAATCTGCAAGAAATGGAGAAGAGAACTTCCAAATGGTTGCTTTTATTGCTTGTGCTCCTTGTTTTTGCGGCCTCCTCTCATGGAGCATCGGTCTCTAGTAGGTTTAATCATATATATAGTTTATATCCCTTCAACAATATAGCTTGATTTGATGTCATTAAGAAGATTTGCCCTTGTTTAAATTTTTGTTTTTGTTTTCGTTCTTGTTTCTTCGTCAAATATTCAATCCGTTTCACATTTTTCTCGAATCGTTTAGTAGTTTAAATACAAATATCGTATTTTTGAAAAAGTGAACATTGCACCTTCTTTGCCGTTGCTGTAAGGAGAATCTGATTTGTGTTTGCAGGAAGGCTCAAGATGTTCGAGTATAACAAAGAATTATCTCAGGATTTACATGATGTTGAGGTTCTTTCGCAATCCATATATGCTATCTGATTTTCAAAATAAAGTTTTTCTTAATTTTATTTACTCTGTTCGTTTCAAAATAAGAATCATGTTTGGAAATCGTTGCAGCATGTGTCGAAATTTGTTGTGAGTTCAGAGAGGAGAATGGACCTGACAACCATGGATTACCCTGGAACAGGGGCCAGCACCAGCCATATTCCTAGGCATCCATGACAAAATACTCATGGTTTTCCGACATATTGCTCTTGATTTTCTGGTGTGCTACAGTAAACATGGCGTTTGTTATTTTATTATGGTTGTGATGAATCTTTTGAGTGGGTTACTGTTATTTATTCTGTATTTCTCATTATTATTATTATTAGTACTGTATAAGTCAGTTTTTCCTAATATCAAATGTGGCTCAAGTTCAATTTGTTAATATGTTCTTTTCGTTATTCGCTCTTTTGTATTCCGTTCGAGATTATGTACACTGAGATTTTGTTTCAAGAATGGGTTGTTGTTAGAATCTGCCACCCAAGTTTCCACCATTTATTGGTCACCCAAGGTTCAAGTGGATCACTGTTTTTTTTTTTTTTGTTTTTGTGTTAAAAGTGGATAACTGTTTATCAGTGAAAAGAGTAGTTTCTTGTTTTAAACTTTTTCCGTCACATCATTACATTTTTCGCTAAGCCTTACAAGAACATAATTGTCGCGCAGTTCTTTTTTTTTTTTTTGGTTAAGCACTCTTGGTTATAACTTATACTCCCTCTGTCCCAAAATTATTGTGCAGTTTGAGATTTTACTTTTAGTACAATTTGAACTAAAAATGAAAACTCAAACTGGACAATAATTATGAGACGGAGGAAGTAATTTTTTCAAATTTCGAATTATTCATTGCACAATGCACACAATCAAGCTAATAGAAAGTTGTGAAAGCATACATTTTTGTTGTCAATGCAAAATTGCAAATATCCAACTAAGGAAGTAGTATCATTTTCCACACACATTAACCCTGCCGATCCCCCTAATTAGTCACACCACCTAAAATAAGATTACCGAATAGAAGGTAGTACATCAGTAAATGACATACATAGACGAACATAATTTAAATCGCAACATATAAAGAATTACTATTGTATTTTTGTCTTTTGTCGATCTCTTAAAAGGTCAATTTAAAAGGACCTGCACACGGCATGTGTTGCAAACTGACCTTTGAGAGAACGGTACATTGTTACAAGCAAAGTAACTCCACGTTTACTACTAATTCCGTCCCACAAAAATAGTTCACATTGAGTTTTAAGTTTTGTATTATTTTTAAGACAAATTTGAAAACTTAATGTGGATTATTTTTTTAGGACGGAGGTAGTATGATTTACATAACACAATCTACCGTCAATAATAATTACATATTTATATATGTAAAAATATTACATGCACAAGTCATTAATGGGTAAAAAGGATTGCATCGGTATTTTGCTATACTGTTTATCAAAGATTGTACAAAAAATATTGTAACAAAAATAAAATTGTCACCAGAAAAAAAATTAAAAAAACTGTACAAAATAAATGACAAAGAACGGACACCTAGGAATTATTTCCATGTATGAAGTTTCCTAGTTGGAACCTTTACATAGCAACTCTTTCTCTCTCTTGCAATGATGTACTCAACATATAAATGTCACTGTTTTCTGTGTGTGAGACGAAGGTTGAGACGATAAAATTAAAATTTTGTTATTATTAAGAGATTATAGTTTAAGGCCTTGTTAAAATAACTCATTTTGTATAAAGAAAATGAAGACATTGCTTTATTTGGGTTCAAATAGAAGTTTTTTTTCTTTTAATAAATTATAATAAAGAAGGCTGGTGCCTGATATTAATTTAATAATATATTCTTAAATAAACAACTTTAATAATGTGGGTTGTTTTTCATTTTATTTTACGCAATATTACTCCACTTGTGCTTGTTGTCTTTTCTGTTATTCTAAAATTTCAATACTATTATCAGAATTCGTATTTCGAGAGATAATTGAAATCGCTAATAATGTCCCAATTAATCCCTTCAATTTGTTTTGAACAGCTCATATCTAAGTGTGAAGTTGACTTTTGGTAATTTTACTAAGTAGGATGATCCTGTAATTATTTTTGTATAGAAAAACTCCACCATACAATTATATACGTCCTCCACCATAAAATAATTGACTTTTGGGGCGTAATATATAAAATTGCCTCAAATTAATTATTACGTCCCAAACCCTAAAATAAAAGCAACTTTCATGGGAGTTGACTTGCATCAAAGGTGAGTACTACCTCCGAATATGACTTTTGATATGATCAACTTGTATGTGATGTGAACATAATGTTATAATCAATTCCCTTAAGAAAAGACACCACAACAGCTTATAAGCACCCCATTTCTAAACATTATATTCAATCCCTCGTACCTACGCACTCCATTTTCATATATTTTTCGTGCACTTGTCTTCATTTAAAACTTCCAATACAATTTTTGTACCTTTTTTTATTTAAAAAAATTTTCTTTATACACTCTAAATACAACAAAAAAAAGAAATAAACAAAAAAAAAAAAGAATTACTACTTGCTTTAAGACAAACTTATAATGAAAACATCATTCCCAGCTACTTAAACCCCTCCTCTGAACATGATATCCAGGAGGACTCAATATGTTGGATGATAATATAACGAAGTGCCGGAATTTGTTGCGAGTTCAGAGAGGAGAATGGTCTTGACAACCATGGATTTCCCTGTAACAGGAGCCAGCACCAGCCATATTCCTAGGCATCCATGAGAAATTACTAGTGATTATCATTTATCAACCATGTTCTAGATTTTTCTGGAGTTTTTAAATAAAAAAGTGTTAGCTATAGTCTGGCTTTTTGTTACTTCACTTTTCTTTTTTTAATTCTAAATATTTGAGTGATTGTTTTTCTTTTTTTTTTTGTTTTCACATTATGTTTTTATGATTCGTCGTTTGTTTTAATCCCATGATTTAGTGCCTGAGTTAAATTTGTTAGTAAGCTCTTTATATCATTTAGTCTTCATTTTTGCTTAGGACCTCGTGGATAACAAACTTCCGCCCAATTCTACAACATCTTATGTTCATTTACTTATTCAGTGTGTTTTTCTATTGATCACTTAATATTTGTTGATAAATAGTGAAATGAACATATACTAATTAGTAATTACCATAGTTATATTTTTGTTTAAGCTTGTAAAGATTAAAGAACAAACAGTTGCCGCAAGGTTAGATCTAGCTCCAAGTAAACAGTTGCCACATACACTCGTTGAGATTTGATCTTAGCTCGTTGTTATAATTGTTCGTTATCACCCCCTAAACTTATTAACTCTTGGTTAATTCAAACTGATTAAATTCTGTAGACATTGAGTAACTAGTGAAAAGAAAAATTAATAGTTTGAGACTTGAGTCACTACATATATTTAAAATGATAACTATGTAATCATTACCTGTGATAGAATCGGACCTGCAATTAATTGTAAACTAGTCTTTCAATGTCTTGTCTATATACTTTTTATTCACCGAAAAAAAAAGATAACTAATGATTACACACACACACACATATATGTATATATATATATAATAAATAATGATATTACAATTTTCGAGAGCCGCTTGAATTAAACGGATAACAGTAGCCTTTATAATCCATAAACTACTCTGAGAAATAGTACATTGGCTTGGTTCGTTGTGTTCGAGAGTGTTGCTTAGGAGAAAAAAATTATGTTTTGACCTCTCATATTTTCTCGAAACCAAATTTTGATTAATTGTTTAGTTTCGTTAGCCGTCAAAGGCCTCGGTGATCATCTACAATGATTTATAGGTTATATTTTCGTGAGAATATGACATTGTAAATGGTTCTTATCACCGTTGTAATGATATGAGTGAAGAAGATTTAGGCCTCATTATTTTTATTAGAAAAAAATTGATCATTTAACGAACATTAACAAGTGGCACAAAACTACAGAAATGTTTTTTTTTTATAAAAAAAATCTAAGATGATTGTGGATGGCAAGTTTCATACTTGCACGTAATTCCATGTTAAGACGTGTTTACCCGTATATAAATTAAGGTTTTTGTACTGGTCTATATATATATACGCACACATATATATATATATATATATATGTGTGTAAATATATTGCTTTTTAAACACATTCTTATACAATCTATATTGCATAATTGCGCGTATAAATAAAAGTATGAGAAACCGTGTGTATGAGGTTGAACAGCCACGAACCTTCGCATATAACATTGACGTTCTTACACATTAATTTGTGCTTAACATGTAGTATAATACACAACCTCCATCATATACTCACAACTCTATATATAACCCATAATTGTGTTCTGGCTCCTTATTTTACTATAATCCAGTTCAGTGTCTGAATTTTTTTCTTAATAACAAAAAATCATTAGCCCAAGAAATTCGATTTTTGTGGCTTGCTGAAGGAAATGGATTATTTGAAAATAAGCATTTCAATGCTCATCATTTCTTGTCTGTGCAATATTTCTTGTGCTCAACTTCGAGTTGGATTCTACAATTCTTCTTGCCCACGAGCTGAATCCATTGTTAGAGAAGTTGTACTGAAGAGGTTTAACATTGATCGGTCTATCACACCTGCTTTAATTCGAATGTATTTCCACGACTGTTTTGTCAGGGTAAGTAGCAATTAAACTTACTACCAATGCCAATCTCAAGACATTTAAATGTTACTTCTTTAGTTAATTACATGTTTCAAATTTTTAATTTTGTACCTGGTGTTGTTTCTTATAGAATTTTTTTTATTGATTATGTAATGCAATACTTTAAAAGCGATCTAATAATCCCATTTGTTAAAAGTATGACCTTTGCTAAGAATCAACGGCCACGTAAATATTTATTTATTTATTTATTTTTTTGTCTCGAAATGTTTGTGTGGTTTGAATTTTAATTTGTAGTACAGTACAGAAAGTGAAAATTCAAATTCAACAATTCTTTTAGGACAAGTGGACTATTAATTACTTTATTTCAGAAAAGTTGGAGCGGTTTATTCTTTGACGTTAAATTCAATTGGAACAGTACAATGTGCCTTAAGTTGATTTCAAAGTTAAAAAGGGGGTAATCGATACAACTAGCCGATTATAAGATTTCAATCATTACTGTTATGCGTGTTGCATTTTTTCGTACCTCATTACTAATTCATTTACCTCCGTCCCACTTTATTTCGTCCACATATTAACGAATATACACATTCAAATGGTACATAGTGAAGACTGAAATGGCAAGATCATTCACTGGATCTATAATTATATGCTCAATCAATGTGCCCAGTTGTTCTTGATTAAGATTATTGGTGATGATCTTTTCATGGTGCGATATCTTTTCTGTGCGATTAGTTTTAAATGTTTGCGAAACAAGAAGTCGATACAAAATATGCAAGTCTTGCTTCCATGATGCTACACCATGAAGTAGTTACAGAGTAGAGTGGGTCGCACGTCGTAGTATTTACGTGCAAACCAACTTCTTTGCTCTCACTAATTCGACATCTGGATTTTGGAAACTAATTATTAGATCAATACATTTTTTCCAGGGCTGTGATGCATCACTACTCATAGACTCAACCAAGTCCAAATCCTCCGAGAAAGATGCCGGGCCCAACGAGACCGTAAGAGGGTTCGACCTCATCGACGAAGCCAAAAAAACCCTCGAAACAACTTGTCCGTCCACCGTATCCTGCGCCGACATCATCGCGTTAGCCACCCGAGACGCGGTGGCCTTAGCCGGAGGTCCAACCTACAGTGTCCCCACTGGCAGACGTGATGGTTTTGTTTCCGATGTATTCGAAGTCGATTTGCCTGGACCGGAACTTTCCATATCCGACGCGGCCCAATTTTTCGTCGTTAAAGGGCTAACCCTAAATGACATGGTTGCCCTTATGGGAGCTCACTCTGTCGGAGTCGCTCATTGCGGGTTTTTCCAAGACCGTCTTTCGGATTTCCAAGGCTCCGGGAAACCGGATCCTACGATGAATCCGGCGTTGGCTGCAAGGCTTTCGAGGACCTGTGGGAGACAATCTAGACCGTTAAATAAGGATCCAACAGTGAATTTGGATCAGAACACAACACTTACACTGGATAATGAATTCTATCATCAAGTGAGGTCTCGTAATGGGATTTTACAAATTGATCAAGAGCTTGCTTTGGACAAATCTACTGCTTCATTGGTGTTTAGATTGGCTGCAAACAGTAGCCTATTCAGACAAGCTTTTGCAGCTGCGATGATAAAGTTGGGAAAGGTGGAGGTTCTTGTTGGCAAAAACGGAGAGGTGAGAAAGAATTGTAGGGTATTTAACAAATCGGCAAGGCCTAAAACTCCGAAACGTAAAACGCATTAAATGTGTGTTTTCTTTTTCTTCTTGATCGACTTTTTTTGTTATTGTGTTACTCTGGAATCCGATCATTCATTATCATTGTAATTCATTGTAAGTGAGGTCATTCTCTGTAGAACTACTAATACATTATTTTCCGGTAAAAAAAAGGACCAAAGCTTGGATTGAGGAACTAATAAAATTTAATGTGATTCAAGATCACTACAAAAAAATGGCTTTGGTCAACAATTTTTTGGTGATAAACAAAAATTTGGTTACGAATTCTGGTCTTTCATGACTAATTTTTCCTTTGGGAAAAATCCCGTACCCTAAAAATAGGGGCGTCCAGATCATACATCCTAAAATTGGTCTTACCAAATCATCTACCTTATGTTTGGAGTTTGTTGTTTTAGGTACTTTTTAAAGGGCAAAATGGAAAACTAACAAAGTTTTGTCCTAAACTTCTATGTTTTTGCCCCCAAACTTATGAAAAAGAGCGAATTGCACCATAAATTCTATTAATTCTACAAAAATGTATCTTTCAGTCAGATTTCAGCAAATTACTCCTAAGTATTTTGCCAAAAAATCCCGTGACTTCCGGTGTTTATTATTTTTGAAGTACATATTGTTTTATTTTAGCGAGTTTTTGTTTTTATAAGTTTAATGTATATTTTTATTTTTCATTTTCCATGATTATTTAAAAATATTTTTTTATTCTTTCCTTTTTTGTATTTTTGTTTAAGTTCTTTGCACTTTGATGCATTTCTAGTAACCCATAATTTTTTTTAATTTTACATGAATTTCCAGAGTTTATTTTAGGCGAATAAAAACAAAATAAAAAAAACTATGTGTTAGTAGAAATGCATCAAAGTGACAAGAACTTGAACAAAAGTACAAAAAAAAAAAGGAAGGACTAATTTTTTGTTTAAATATCATGAAATACGACAAATAAAAATAAATTAAAGTTATAATAACAAAACTCGCTAAAATAAAATAAATATGTACTTCAAAAATAATAAGCACCCGAAGTCGTGGGAAGTTTTTGACCAAAAATTTAGGTGTCTTTGTTGAAATCTGATTGAAAGATAATTTTTTGTAGAATTAATAGAATTTATGATGCAATTTGCTCTTTTCTAGAAGTTTGGGGGCAAAACCGTAGTAGCTTAGGACAAACTTTTGTTAGTTTCCCTTTGCCCTTTAAAAAGTACCTAAAACAATAAACTTCAAACATAAGGTACATGATTTGGTTAGACCTATTCTTAGGGTACATGATCTGGAGACCTCTTATTCTTAGTGTACAGAACGTGGATTTTTTCCTTTTTCTTTTGATCACAAATTTTCGTCACTCATTGGACATTGTGCCGATTCGCTCGCAAAATCGGCTTTAAGCTTAGAGCGTTAGATGGAGACATAGGATTCTTGGTTTGAGAAAAAGCCCCTAGCTCTATAGATTTGCTTCTGCAAAAAGGAGCTAGAAGTTTTATTTCCCCTGTAACATAGGAGTTGCCTACTTTTCTTCTCTGTTAACCCTCCACACACACACACACACACACACACACACAGAGAGAGAGAGAGAGAGAGAGAGAGAGAGAGAGACGATAGTACTTGCATAGACTTTTATAACGCAATGGCTATCTACATCGTTTCTCTTTTAGTAGTACTAAATAAATTCCCTTATATTCTATAAATAAACAAATATATTTTTCCATAGCAACTCGATTAATTAAGTTGTGTAGTAGCATAACAGTAGGTGTATAATCTCTCAACTCTATAGGCTTTGTCAAAATGCTTCTAGATTCAGCTAAAAGGACAATAACCGGAGAAAAGAATGTATATATATATATATGTATATATTTCTATAATGCTATAATTTTTGGTACTGTTATGATATTTCAATTTTCTATACTACTTCAACACAAGGTAAAACCATGAGTTTTTAATTTTTTGTACCTTATAGTATAAGGTATAACCATAATGGCTCACTACTTCACTACGAGGTAGGGGTTGTAATAGTTAAGTGCCTGAGTGATCAGTTTGATTCCCCCACCAGTTGGAGATACACATAGCAATACATATGGCCTGAACATTAACTAGTTCCAGTAGCTACCTTCAGCCCCCAATTTCTGAAGAAGAAGACTAATTAATATTAATGATCCTTGAGAGGCTGCCTCTAAACAAGAATTTGATGTCGGCAGCATAATTTTTCGAGCGAGTGAAAATTTGCAGCGGCTATGTCTGATGATGAGGAAGAAGAAGACCGTAAAAGATTAAAAAACTATGAATATTACTAATTAGTATACATAGTTTAAAAGCTTCCATATCGACCCCCATTATATTTTAAACCCTTATAAAAACTTTAATGATTTGATAATCAGCCCCTAAAGCTCTTATATATTGTAAGATGAGCCTAATTCCATTCATAAGTTCTTCCAGTAGTTTTCAAAATTTTCAAAAGAAAATGATGAGGTGAATATGTTATTTCGAAACCATGTACACTAAATTCCCATTTTCTTCTTTTTCTGTGGCAAAATCTATGTACATAAAAATAGACTAAATATATGCAAAAAAAAAAAAAAATCTCTATAAAATGAGATCCAACCACCCCCCTTCCGCCCCCGCCCCCCAATCTAGAAGTCTAGTTTCGTACTACTATGAGGTACTGCCATTCACTTCAAAATTAGAAGGACAATAATTGTGGAAAGAAAGGTGATAGTAAAATATTTGTTTCTTATGTACTTAATTTTCCTTCATCTTAAATAGTTTCTTCATCATTCAAAGGAGGTTCTTTTAACTGGAAAAAAATGTATAACCTCCTCAGGAAGCTCTAACTCGGCAATTTCCAACCTATCATCTATACTTCTTATGTACTTAATTTTCCTTCATCTTAAATAGTTTCTTCATCATTCAAAGGAGGTTCTTTTAACTGGAAAAAAATGTATAACCTCCTCAGGAAGCTCTAACTCGGCAATTTGATTTCTTTGTGCTTGGTTGAACATGTCATCTTCGGCTGCCATTTTAGCTGACCAGCATATACGTTACAAGATTCCCCTCCGAAAGAGTTAGAGGTTCCTTTAGAAGATTGTACATTTCTTTCCATCAGACATAATTTCTCAAAAACATCTTGCAGTGGAAATTGATTGACTCGCGATTACTCGAAAGTTGAAATTGTAGGTAATTCAAAATTTAGTTGTGGAAGCCTATGTGTTTTTTTTTAAATGAATCTTTGCAATGGCTCTTCCATTTTGAAGTTTGTGTGAAGTTTTTTTTTTTTTTTGGGATGAAATTGCTTTCCATTCAAAGAGATATAAATTTGAATACAATCTCATAGTTCAGACAATATTCCTACTCACGCTACCTAAAGATGCTGTGAGTTATACATCAAAAAGGGGTATAAAAAGTGATAACATTTAATTTGTTGCATAAAAGCATGGCAATTTACTCTTTAATTAGTAAGAAATTAGGGGTGTTTCTCAGAATTAGTTCATTTTACTTAACTAGTTTTGTGTTTTTAATTAGGCAAGGACCTGAGTGAACATTAGCTGAAAAAGGGGGCTTATGGAACAAAAATTGGGCTGCTGGATTCAAATTTGCTGAACTGGTCAAAAGTAACTTCAAGACACAATGCACATTGGGAGTAAATAAGGATGTCACACTATAGAAACCAAAGAGCATGCTTGTCCCCTTGGCTGAAGAACCAACCACCCACATTGATCAATGCTGCTGCTGATACCACTGCTGGAAGAATGGGAAAAGGCCAGTCAAAACCGGATTCAAGACACAAGGCATTGGGGCTAATAAAAAATACACAAGCATGGTGAGACTCTCTTGGAAGAAGAACCGGCAATAAGCACTATAAAAGGAGCCGCATTCCCAGCATAAAGAACACATATCAGAGGACAAAAAACACACATACAATACACCAACACTACATAGACCCGAAGAAGAGAGGAAGGAACTCCAAGGAGGGATAATAGGCCTCACTTGCCTGAGTGATTTCTGTCACTCAGGCGAGTGACCTGTTGTCCAGCATTCAGATTTGCTTCTTCTCGCTTCTTTCTTTCCTTATATTTTCTGTAGTTTGTATCTGTAGTTAGTCAGATTTCATTCTCTAGAATCTATGTAATTTGAGTTTGTAATGCACTTGTTGAATACATGTTTTGAAGTTGGAAGTTTTTCTACATTCGGTTACTTGATCACTGACTGAATGCATGCTAGAACTAGGGGAGTTCTGGAAAGATAAACTTGGTTTGGATAGATTTCAGCTTCAACTTATGGCTTGGAGGTAACAGTCCAAGGTTCTAATTGAGATAGAATAGACTTGGTTAGCATAAGCATTCATGTAAGGCTTGAAAACTTAATGACTTCATGACTTGATTAATCATTGAAAAATAGTTAATTGAGTTCATAAAGATATCTCTAGGAAAAATCGGAAGTGACTTAGAGATATATAAGTGCCTGAATGAGCATGAATTCATACCAAAAGAGTGCAAGATTACCACTTGATTACATAGGGAAAAGAGAATGAATATCTCAGTTTGTTGAGTCAGTCCTCTGAGTCAGAAGTCTCACTCCCGTGAGTGAGGTTTCAGTTGTCTGTTTGTCTTAAGTTCTGCAGAGTCCATTCGTGTGAGTGACTTTGTCACTCGGGCGAGTCTGTAATTTTCTTCCTTCTTTGTCCAACACTTATATTCTTGTTTGTTTTCCGGTTATTTGAAGTTTAACCTGTCCCTGTGTGGTTGACCCAACTTATCCTATCTACAGTTTAAGTTGGTAATTTATTTTGGGGACTTCGACAACCCACCAAAAGTGGCGCCGTTGCCGGGGACGGCGATCAACTTCTTTTAACCCTTTTGTGATTCTTTTATTTTTCTTTCTTCTAGGTTCTTGAGACATCTTCTGTATGTCATATCCCTTAGTAGCATGTTAATTCTAAAATTTTGTGTACTTAATGTGTACTTGCTAGACTTTAGTTGGGGTAAACTTCTAATATCTTTATGAACATTGATGCCATATCTAGCAAGTTCTGCTATAATTTTAAGAATTAGCATGTTTGAGTCCATATGAGTCACCT